ATATGCTCCTCTCAGTTCTACTCTAAAATAATTTTTTCAAAAACTTGATCAGCGAAGTCTCGAGTGGACAAGCCGCGGAGTTGAACTGGAGTTGAGATTTTTGTTGAGAGAGTTGGAGTTGGAGTTGGAGTTGAAAAATTTTGAGCGAAGTTGGAGTTAGAGTTGGAGTAGGAAGTTTGAAAACGGAGTTGAGTTGGAGTGGAGTTGGAGTTGAAAGTCAGCGGAGTTCCTCAGCCCTGGTTCTGAAACTGCCATCAGTGACATTTTTTCTGTTTGATTTTTTCGAATTTTTTTCGCTCCAAATAAGTTTCTATTCACATTAGAAGTTCAGAAGAATAAAAGAAACGAAATTTCATCTGTAGACCCTTCCTAAAGACATTTTTTCTTTCTATTAGTCTCGAGCTCTCATAAAGCTTTCAGCTGATCGTTTTTTTTATTCTTCTGCACTTCTCATGTGGAAAGAAACTTAGTTTGCGCAAAAACAATTCGAAAAAATCAAACAGAGAAAACGTCAGAGCATCAGTGACAGGTTTTTTCGGTGTGAGCACTGACACTGATGCATATGTATACTCAAATAAACAAAAGACGTCGAGATCCTATTGAGAAATGCAAAAGCATATGTATATTTTACTATCCTCTAGCTACCGTCTAACAAGAAAGTTAAAAATTACCAAAAGACGTTATAGTTATGAAAAACCTAAACAACATCACTCAGTGTACAACAACGTGGACATTAGGGGAAAAAGCGAAAGTGAGTTTTTCCAGGATTCAATTAGTGACCAATATGCGCTACAAAATGCCTGATTTAATGGTGAAAAATTTTGATCCAAGTACTTAATTTCGCCGAGAAAAGTAAGTCATGATTTTTAGTAGTTTCTGCGCATTTCGTCGGAAAAAACGTTTTTTTACGGCGGAAGAACGCAAACATAAAAACATAAAACTGATATATTGTGAAAGAGGACGAGTTAGGCTATCGATTCATAAAATCTTTTTCTGGAATTAGCCGGTTTTTGGCGGAAGAATTGTTTATTTTTTTCTTTGGTAGGAGCTTCCGATAGCGATGCGTTTGGGAAAGTGACCGCCCCCTTCACATCCCCGCTCCGTTTTCGATGAAGCTTTCAGCAATTGTTCCTCTATATGTGGTACGTCTATAGGGAATGCGCAAACATGCGCAAATGCTTCTAAGCGTTGTTACAGATTTTACAAAAAACGTCAGTTTTCCATGGTTTTCGAGATTTTTTTTCTTCATGATTTTAAATCTTGACTTTTAAATTTTCGGGCAAAAATTCTACGTGCCGATCCCAAAATCTAAGAATTCAATAAGATTCGAAAGTATATGTCCAAAACCCAACGAATTATACGCCATTCGATGCAGCTTTTACGCTGATTCCGAATATGTCCTTATTATTTTAATTAGAGTATCATAAAATGCAAAAAATCTTAATCCTTCATATAACCACTTCTACTCAATCATTTTTTGTTCTGTACTTTGTTGTTAAGATAAATTTAAGGCTGGTACTGTTGTATTTCTGTCTGTCTGAGAATGTATAGACGAGGTAGATAATGAATTGTTTTGTTTTATGTTATCAGATAAAAACGATTCATTCAAATTCGGTTGAAGAAGAGGAAAAACAATCGAAACCGTCGATGTAGATAGAATTGTCGACGCTCATTCGATTAGTTTACTTTGATGTGAGAGTAGCTGTTGTTGTTGTTCTAAAAGACGATGGAATAAACTTTCAGATTTTTGTTTATTTTCATTTAAGTTTGTTGTGTTATAAATAATTGGTGTTGATGTAATTGTTATTGAATTACGTGAATTTTGAAGAGAAGACGATGAAGGAGAGGACTTCATCTTGCTGCTGGTGTTTGTATTCCAACGATCAAACGAATAGATGCAACAGTAGTGCTATAATCTTCTTTCTGTAAGTTTGAAAGTATGGAGACGAAATTTTTTCTTAGATTCCATCTTGCCTGGCTTGCAAAATGTCACCACAGCAGTGATCAAAATGGGGCTGTTCATACCTGCAAAGTTTCTCAGCTATGAAATATTGTGGAGCTTGAGCCCGTCTTAAATTGACGAAAACACATGTGACTAGAAGCGAATAGAGCCGGATTTTTGACATTTTGCTTTTCAAATTAATGGTCAACGTCAACAGTCCCAAATTCGAAAACGTCGCATTAACTTGCATAAAGACGTTTTTTTAACTACAAATCTCCACCGAATATCAAACCTCGGGCTCTATTAGCCTCTAGCCACACGTATCAGTAGCTTCAATTTAAGATCTTCCCGAGCTCTCCACGCCGTTTCGTTAATTAAAAAACTCCAAAATAGTTCTCGACAAGGAGTAAAAGCGTATGGATTTTATTAGCAAAATTTTATAAGCAAAATAGTAAACATACATTCAGATTTAATAGTTGAAATTAAGCACAATATATGAGGCAAAATGGCTTATAAGAGCCGTTGCAGATACCCGTCGTCGGATTACTACAGAATCTGCTCAATCGACCTTCGAGAAATGGGCAGGTACTATGAACATTTTGTTGAGTAATGCCGCAAACCGTGGCGCGAAGGACCAAATCGTAGCTGGGATCGTCAAGTTTTATCTAGTTTTATATAGTTTATTTAAGATAGCTTCGACATTTTTTTAGGTTAAGAAAAGTAGTGACGTTTATGACTAAAACGTATGCCATTCTTTAACCGTATAACTAATAATGATGAAACTTCATCAAAGAACTCTAGATGTCTTTTTATGTTTGACTTCAGATGTTGTGACCTGGTTCACTTGACAATCAATTGTGTTGAAACTATTTTTAAAACTTAAAGATCCCAGCAATGGTTTGGTCCTTCGCGCCATGGTTTGCGGCATTACTCATCAAAATATTCATCGTTCATGTCCATATAGTCAATTCTTCATTTCTTTTCCAAGGTTGATTATGCAGCTTCTGTAGTAGTTCAAACCTTAGAAAAGACATAAGCAAAGCTGATAATAACCTTTACCTCTAATCTTAGAAAACAAAAGTATCTGTCAAATGGCGTATAAATCTAATAAGGCGGTTGCAGCTACATAATACCTGCATACTTGAAAATTAATACTGCAATGCCAATTGCAATTGGAATGACTAATGCATTCCATATTGCTGTTATAATTGAACATCGTTTAGCAGCTACATAATCATTTTGTTGCTTGTAATTTTGAACACACATTGAACAACAAACCGAGATACACCCTAACAAAATACCACCACAAAGTATATTAATATAAGACCATGGAAGAAAATCTGGTATATCGTCGATTGGTTTTTGTGGCTGCAAAACAACAATAGGAGGTTGCCATGTGGGCTGCTGAACGGTTGCAGGTATGTAAGCAGTCTTGAAATCAGTAGACTGTGGTAAAACTGCAGCTTTGGTATCCATGATGCTAATATTTTCTTGAAGCACGAACTTTTCAAATTACTTTTTCACACTATGCGTTCTCTTTAAGAAGAGTTGCTCGTTTCTTTCTGATGTTAAAGTGCAGTTTACTATTTACTTAAATAACCGAACACTGCACTATCATGACAATCTAAGTCAATATTTAATTAACAATAGAAAATACACAAGAGACTTGTTGAATTGCATTCTGCAGTGAGTCAACCAAAAAACTAACGTAGTTCTTCATTAGTCGAACTCTCTGAATGTTCTTATCTCTTATTTCATGCGTGTGTTCTATGTTTATCAACATGTGTCAGAATAAAAGAATGAAAAATCTTTGTAATACACAAATTCAATATCTCAAGATCTACAGAGACTGAGCACAAAATATTTTATGACTTTTCTAATCTCATCGACGCCTACTTGTGGCCAAAATATGAGATCAGAAGTGAGGCAGCAGTTGGAGATTTTTTTCGTAAAACTCTATCTTAGTTTTTGAGATATTTCACTTACGGCTTAACAGGAAGTAAATCATTCACAAAAAAACATTCCGATTTACCTTTGTTAGTTCTAAATATTTCAACACATTTAAGAGCATCCTTAACGTACAAAATGCAACCATCCTCTGTACTATCCCTATCCTTTCATTAGTGCTAATAGCCAGGTATAACAATATCTGTCGCTGAAAATAAGTCATTCAACCAAGTTTCTACTACTTCTATAACTCCTCCTCGTGCGTACATACTCGTAAAGTCCCAAGCGCGAAAAAAAAACATGGAACGTGCGTCGGAACCCCGTTCAAAATTTCGAACTCCGTTCCGAGCCCGTTCAAAACTGATATAATTTTTCAACTGCGTCCGTTCCACACCCGTTCACAAAT